GCTCATCCCTCGCCTGGTTCGGTCGCTGGAGATCGAGACCCACCATTGCCCCGGTCCCAGCACCGATAGATTTTACGACATCATCTGGGGTGAGCAGTCTGCAGCCATAGCCTTGCCGCTCATTACCATGCTCTGCCAAACGATGGTCCAGCCCTGGGACCAACCGGCTCAACCACAGGCTACGTCTTGTCGATACAAAGCCATGTACCGAGTTCGGGAGGAAGACATACCGTTCCTACTACGACACCCGAAACCGAACTCGGTGGTGGTTGAGTCCTCCCAGGGCAGGGAGTTGAGGGGTCACACAGCCCCTCACAATAAGGAAGGGAGGAAGATAGATATGCTTGTGCGCTGGGTCTATGCGGCCTCTGGACTCAGCCTCCGCATATCGAATTAAGAAGTGATGCTAGTGCATTACCAGTACTTCATAATGCAAAAAGTAGAGAACATCGCTTCTTCCCTTCCGGACCATCAAGTGGACCTGGCCAGAGTGTTTTATAAAGGAGGCAATGCAAGTGGCCATTCAACAACTTTCCACTGCAAGGCATCATGTGGACACTGATTCTAGGGCCCCGGTCAGTACATTTCTCTTCGGCAGCATGCGTGGCTGAGAAATTTTAATTTCCCTGAGGAAATGAAAAGAAGGATAGAAGAGATGCCGTTTGATGGTACCGGACTGTTTCATGCGAAGACCGACCATAAACTCAAGTCGATCCACAAATCATGCATGGCAGTGCGTTACATGGAGCTTCCACAGCAGAAACGTAAGTGGTCATGGTCCCGACCCTCCAGCCGTCAACAGTACCAACCTCGGCAGCAGTATCAGCAGAGGCAACAACGTAGAAGACAACAGCCACAACAATGCTTCTCGCAGGGCCATCAGCGTTTCGATACTGAGAAGCATCAACGTTGACGGTCCGGGCAGACCATCCCGTCTCTCCACTCCCCACCTTCCCCTCTCCCTTTTGGGGGCCGGCTTCAAAGCCGACTCCCCATTTGGGAGTCCATTACATCTGATAGGTGGGTGTTGTCCATCATTCAGCTCGGATATAGGATAGAATTCAACATCGTTCCTCCGTCAAGCCCGATCTGATTTACACCTTGCTCTTCGGTACTATGCGACGAAGTCTATCAGCCACTTCGTAACGGAGCGATTTGACAACTCTCTCGCTCTGAAGGGTTGCACGGATTCTATTCCAGATATTTTACGGTCCCTAAACGGGACGGCGGTCTTCGTCCTATCCTGGACTTGCGAGATGTTAACAGGTACATCAAACCTAAAAAGTTTCAGATGACCACCTTACAAAATATCCTTCCGTTGCTGAGGAGAGAGGATTGGTTTGCCTCACTGGACTTGAAGGATGCATATTTCCATATCTCCATTCATCCTTCTCACAGACGCTTTCTACATTTCACTGTTGGATCCGATATATTCGAATTCAATGTCCTGCCACTTGACCTCGCTACCGCTCCGAGAGTCTTCACAAAGTGTATGGCTCCGTTGTGTGCATACCTGCGGCTTCAGGGTATACAAATATACCCATACTTGGATGATTGGCTAATTGTGTCCCAGACTAGAGATAGTCTCCTGTCGTCTGTACATGAAACTTGTGATTTGCTTGACGATCTTGGACTTTGCATTAACCACGATAAATTGTCCCTTATTCCTACATAGGTCATCAATTTCATCGGAGCATGTATAAGGAAAAGGTCGTTCTTCGAATGGATTCAACATTGCTACCCAAGGTGGCCACACCGTTTCATATGAATCAGGAGATTGTCTTGCCTGCGTTCTTTCCATCACCATCGAATCCAATTGAACGCTCTCTTCACACTCTCGATGTTCGATGCTGCTTGGCTTTTTACAGATCTCGCATGGAATCCTTCAGGACTTCTAATAGACACTTTGTTAAATATTCTGACCATAATAAGGGCTCTCCAGTCACATCTCAGAGACTGTCTAAATGGATCGTCCAGACTATTGTTTTGGCATATCAGTTAGCAAAGATGGACTTACCTGTGTTCCCAAGGGGTCATTCTACGTGAGCAGTAGCGGCTTCATTGGCCTTTGCAGTGGGGGTTCTGATCCAAGATATCTGCAGAGCTGCAACCTGGGATGCTCCATGCACTTTGGCCAAGCATTATCAGCTTAATGTACATGCCAGACAAGATTGCTCTTTTGGTAGAGTAGTTCTCTCAGCTATTCTTTGTTGACAACACCTCCCTCCTCCGAGTCTGGTAAGCTTGCTAATCACCCATATGTGTGATGCACAGAGGCCACGACGAAGAAAAGCAGGTTGCTTACCTGTAACTGATGTTCTTCGAGTGGCCATCTGTGCATTCACACAACCCACCCACCGGCCCCGCTCGGTGTCGGTGAGTGGAAATGTTGTTCATCGGTACCATGCTTAAATATTAGGGTACCGATGATGATTACTGTGATATCATCTTCAGCCTCAAGGGGCAAACATTTGGTCTTCAAGATTGAGTAAAATGGCGGACACTCCGCTCAATTTATACTATGCAGGGGGAGGGGAACGGAGTTTTCCCTCCAAAAACCGTTAGCTTTCTAATCTTCCGGCCTAGGCACTGCGCAGGGGCAGCACCCATATGTGTGAATGCACAGATGGCCACTCGAAGAACATCAGTTACAGGTAAGCAACCTGCTTTTCTCTGGAGGCAGTGGGTTGCACGAGAGCTTGTTTAGGCATTTCACAGCAAAGGGGAAAAATACTGCTGCAATCAACAAGTGTTTTCTGTTTTTGTTAACTTTTGTGCCATAGTAAACATTCAGTGTTTAGTATCTCATGTACTTCAAAGGGTAACAAAGCCAATTCAGTCCATTTCAATTTCAGGTTGTAATGCAACAAAATGTGGAAAATCCGAGGGTGTATGTGAATACATCTGCAAGGTACTGTATACTAGTCCAGGGGTGGCCATACTTGCTCAATGGAAGAATCACGTACAGTAAATGTCAGCTATTTCAGAACCTCAAGGCATGGATAAATATTTATTTATTTATTTATTTTGACCAAATTTATTACAATTATCAGGCTACCTACTGCTAGCGGAAGTCTTGTGAGTCTTCGTCTTGGCTGTGGGTCGTTTACTTTGGAGGGATGCAGCATGGCAAAATCTGATTGAAAGCATAATCCTATGCAGGTTTGGACAGGGGAAAAAAGCCCAACAATGGCCATCAGAATGCTGGGAGTTCTAGGACTTTTTCCCATTGAATATATGATAGATTAAGATTCTGTTTCTTTAAACATGGAAACTTGTGTCACCAGCATCCCTTTAGCAATTGCCACCATTTTCATGCCATGCTCACATGCAGGCCTACAACACCCTAGGTGCTGAGTGGTTGCCATGTAATTAGGATGGCTGCCACATGGCTCTTCCCACTAAAATGTATTCTGAACAGGAGGCGTTTCCTGCGATGGCCGTGAGATGCAGCATGAGGATTGGTCATGTAGGCTGTTGTTGGTGATGCTGGAGGCAGTAGCACTGCGCTTGTTGGCAGGAGATTCCAGCATGGTGGCCTGCACAGACCCTTCTTCCACCCTGTGGGAGGGCTGCTGGCCTGTGGCATCAGGCACCGAGAGCAGCTTTGTGCATGCCATGCTGACCCTGTCTGCCAGCCCGATACCACCCTGTGGTCCTTTGAGCGTGGCTGCCAATGCTGCTGCTGCTGCTGCTGCTGGAGGTCTGGAAGATGCAGAGTGTGAACCAGATAGTGGGCACAGGTGCAAGGCTAGGGCTTTTTGTTGGACTGTAGAGCAGCTGGGGTTCTCAAGCTTACTGGAATTCCCTTGGGAGGCATCCTCACTGGGTGTGGTGGGTAGGCTGTAGCTGGGCAGTAAAGCCCCTCCTTCAGTGTAAAAGGTCACAAGTTCAGTTCCCTTCTGGGGCTGGGAAAGATTGGAGGTTGCACCAGACTTTTCCAGCCCTCTGTAAGCTGCAAAATAAACTCAAAGAACTGCATGCTGCTTGTGAGCCTTGGTTTGGCCACTCCTGTACTAGTCTATGGTTGTATTGGCTGTATTAGCACAGATCTATAAAATGGAAGCTGTTAACATACTGTCAGTGATTTTATTGTCTGACTAGTCATTCACAGCACTGCTTTTTTAGGTGTCACAATTTAAGCAATTTGTCAGAATAAGGTATGCAAAACAATTCTAACCTGTACACACTTCATATACTGTGTCAAATTTTAAGTATTTCATATAATCTCAGCATTGTTGCTCAAGCACAAAACAAAAAATAGACTGTATAATGTGCCCTTCAGAAGAGAGCAGTAATAGAGGAGGGGGACAATTTGATATTATTGTAATAAAAACAGATGAGATGAAAAGATGTTTGGACAATGTGGATGATAGTTTAGAAATTAGAGTATAGTATTGCAATAAACCCAATGCAAACTATTTGTTTTTAAAACATCACTTTAAGACATTAACCTAAAGTGGCCTTGAAGTGCGGTAAGTATTTCTTATGGTGCTTGTCTAGTCTGAAAGATGTTATCCAGGTATGCCTTTTATTATATATGCAGTACCTGAATTATTTAAGAGTCCTTCTTGTATGCCTTGAACACTTATAAGAGGAATTTCATTTCCGTTTTGTGTGAGGGTTTTGTTCTAAAGAATGCAAAATGAAATCCTGCACTGTATTATACATTAGCAAACATAACTTTGTAAGCCACTTGTGGCCCCTTCAGTCATGAGTTAACTGCCTTTTTCTCACTCAAGGGATCCTGCAAATGTTCAGACTGGAATACTTTATAGCTCTCAGCTATTTTTCCTTGGTCTGGCTTTGATTTATTCAACAGTAATTATAGGAGCTTTGAGCTTGTGTTCCATATAGGCTTAACAAGCTCATATACATTTTTAATGTACTGGCTCGAGTTATGTTGCTTACATAAATTTGAGGTATTTCCTAAGCAAAAATTCATCATGGGATTTAAATGTTTCTGTGAACCAGTGCCTCTGCCTTCCTTGTCTCCTCAGGTGTCGGAAAATGTTGCTTTCATTGGACCAGACATGCATGCTATTCAAGCAATGGGGGACAAGATAGAAAGTAAACTGTTAGCCAAGAAGGCAAAGGTCAACACAATACCTGGTTATGATGGAGTGGTCAAGGTAAGAAACATTTTAAAAAAATGCTGATCATATATTCTGAATGCTGTCTCAGCATGCATGCGAAATAACAAAGTGTGCATCATGACAAGTGTGATTTCTATGGTGGGAGTGTTTATATAGCTTGCAAGGACTCCACAGGCCTACAGTGCAATCAGTTAACACTGAATACAGGAACACATTGCATCCTGTACAGGATCCTTGCCCTTAAAGAATTGTCATGGAAAGTAGGTATTGCCATCACCACAACAATGCCCCTAAAGTGCAGTGGTTTCTTTTTTCATAAAAGTAAAATGGAGCTATACATTGATGGAGAAGTAAGTAAAAAATCATTCAAAGTGGGGCCAGTGTTGCTATGGCATCCAGGAGATAGACCTACTCCATGCACCTAATAACCTTTCAGAACCAAACTTCTTCCTGGATGTATAGCCATGTCCAGTGCGATTAGAAGTTGCAGGACTGGAATGGGGTGCTTATTACTTGATCTATGGAAAAAAGCATTGACCATACTTAAGTGTGAGGTGTAGCCTCTAGCTCACCATAAAACTGTTCCAAGTTTGTAAGTTTTTTGGTCATCTTGAGAACTGTGTTTTGATGAAAGGCTGCATGTGATATTGCCAGTGCTGCTTCTCACAGTGCTGATGAGAGAAGGCTGCTGGTGTTACAGTGACTTCTTGTATTTAGATAGATGCTAAGGACTTATCTGTATTGCAACTTTTATTCTCTTTGGCACAGTATTCTTTCTCCATAGAAAGACATGCTAACTCGTTGGTGCCATATTCTTTCACCTTTATGATATGCTAACTCTCCATTGCACTAGTGGTAGGCCTTGCTGGCACAACAGAATGCATTGCATAGTCTATTTTCTATTCTTTTGGACACTCTGCTAAGTTTGCCAGATTACTGAAATTTATTGGGCCAGATCCAAAACCATTTAGCTACTTTGGACTTCCGTTGCCTTCCCTCTGTGCTACATGTGAAATTTATCTTCTGAAACACTGGGTTGGGATTCCAGTTTCTCAGGTTGAGGGGACACTAGAAGACAAATGAAAATTCTTTTGTCTGAATGCAAGCCCATGGGTAGGCCTAAAGAAGTGCAGGATTCCACAAGAGGACACAAAGCACTAACACTGAATATGCATGCAAGGTTTACACTCATGTTTGAGGGAATGGTAAAATAGGCGAAATTAAATAAATTGGGTATTCGAATGAATGACATGAGATTTTTTGTTTTTGTTGTAATTGTCACTATGTAAACATGTTGTTCTCACAAGGAAGACAGATTCCTTTGGAACATAAAAACCATTGGTGGCCTAAGTTCTTATCGCCTCTGCCATTTCCTTACTCTTCTTGACATCTGACTTGTCAAAGAAATTGTCCTGTGGAGCTTGTTATCATAGTCCTAAAAGGCAATGGGTATTGCTCAGAGTCACATATGTGTCTGCCTTGACAGGATAAAAACAGTATTTAGAAGTTTTTTCCAGTCAGAATGGGTATATATGATGCCCAAATAATAGCAGCTTTCTTCTGTCTTTTTAGTTTTTGAAGACTGAAAACATGAAGTTTGCATGTTCTTTTAAGACATTTTGGCCAGAAAGGGGAGTTACAATTAGCACAGTTGTGTCCCTATTCTAAGGATAATTTGTAGATTGCTTTCTTGTGGGTTTGCAGTATGTACCAGTTACTCATTTCTTTGCAGGTAACTAAATGGTGAATGGGTGGGGGAAATGACCATCTTTATTGCTTTATTTAAAATTTCTATTTAGCAAATATATGCCTGAATTTGCAAGAGAAAAGAAATGCAAAAGTTCCTTCCTTGGCCCTAATGTCTCTTCATCAGTCATCACTCTTCCTGCGTTTTATTCAAGAGACTCTAATTGTCTGTATTTCCCAGGTTTAACACTTCCTGACAGAGAGGCTATTAAGGGGAAGTATTCTCGCATAACTGTCACAGACAAGAACAAAGAGCCTTCAGACTCAATGTGTGGAAACCACTAACATTCTTAAAAGATCCTTTTCATGCACTTTTGTTATTCCTCAAGCTAAAACTTGGAGAGTGTGGAGGTTGCAAGGTTGTGGAAGGCAAAAAGATATAACAGTAAACCTTGATTTTGTCCCTCCTCCCTTTTGGGGGTGGGTAGACTTATCTCTGCCTTAAAAACAATTGTTAGGAAAATCTCATGAACAGATGTGCCTGCTTGAAGTTAAAAAAGGGACTTAAAACTGATGTTGCTTTCGGGACTGCTTTGAACTTAACAAGCACCGATTTGCGGAGCAGACTAGCTAATGAAAGGAAATTAAATTTTCTGACAACTTCCTGTACCAGTTTCCTTATTCTTCAGTGGGTGCTTAGAAGGTACTAAGGTTTTGTTTTATTGTTTGGCAAAAAATGACCCAGGTACGAACTCCTCCAAAGTATTCTGCCTCCTCTTTTTCCTTTCTTTTTTTTTAAAGAAATGGTTTTGAATACTTAAAGATATCAATTTTCATTTTAATGTTCAGATATCGGCCTCCATGGATTCAGCCGTAATCAGTAGCAAAGGGTTTTCAGGCACAACATGTAATGGCCTGGAAAGAAAAGATGTCATGGTAGCTTCCTTTTCCTTCCCTTGCCAGGCATGTCACTCTCCCAAACTTGGTGACTTTCAAACTGTCCCATCACTTATGGCTTGTTCTAGGCTTTCAGCATAGTTTGGAAGTCACCCCACTGCTCATCCACAGCAAACCCTGCCACCCATAGTAGTTATGGAAATAAGACAGCTTGCAACTGGCAAGTGCAAGGTAGGGAAAAGAAGCCACCATGGCTTCCTCTCCTTCCCCAGTTCTGTAAACCCAGTCAATGAATGTTAATATATAGCGGAAATATTAGAAAATTTAGAGGGACTTTCAAGGTTTAACATGTCATTAATTATGTACAATTATGTATTCAAAATCCATCTGGGGCAATCTTTTTATTAGGGTTAGGGGACAAAACAGAACTGTATTTTAAAAATGAACAGATGTGGTCATGAGATCTGCGATACACATAGATCCATTCTCAAAATGGAGATTTGCAGACTGAATAAATGGTAGGTATGGCAGAGTACATTTCTGACTAACAAACCTTTCTGTTTCTCCCCCCACCACCAATCCCCTGTTTTTTGTACCATTTAGCCTGTTGAAGAATTTTGGATTACTTGAAAGCTTGCACATTTTTGTGGAATTTTGGTTGGTCCTATTAAGGTATTGCCCAGCTGTGGGTTTTAGGGTTTTTTCCCCTCATGGACCAGCATAATTACAATTGCTTACTATGGAAATACATTGTTTGGGTTAAGAGACACTTAACTTACATATGGCAGTAGATTACTGTCAATCTTTTCATTCATTAACTACTGAGAAACTGAATAGTTTGTGTGTGTTTTATCATCTCCCACCTGGCCACTTGGGGAACATTGCATATCTAAAGGCTGCTGTCTTTATGTTTGTATGAAAACTGGCATAAGATGCTTTTACTGTCAGTTCTTTAACATTATTTAGGCCATGCTTGCTATTCATGCTGCTAGGTAATTATCTCCATCCATGTCCAGTTCAATGGTTTAATAGTAAATGTATTAAAGTTACTAGATACATCTAAGGTTAGAATACAAATATTTTTTGTTTCCTATTATTACAATTGCAGATGCATTAATTTTTGAAATTGAGAATCTATGATAATCTATTTAAATGGGGTCTAATATGTGTTGATCTGGCTTACAAAAACAACAATCAGTGCCTGAGAATATACATTTGAACCTTTTGGTGAATTTGTAAGACTTGAATTGCTGTTGAACCTTAGCCAAACAATAGAGAATCGACTCCCCCTGCTGTCTGTACCTAGGAAAACATGACATATATGTACCTGAGAAGACAGGAATAAGCTGACAGTTGACATGTTCCAATGTTCTGATATTTACTTCTCAGTGAAACCATCTAAATTCTTTAATTCTAGCAACTTGAGAAATCCTTCTGTAGTCCTGCTGTTTTTTCCTGTCAGCTGATTCTTCACTGCTTAGAGTCTGAGTGTTATGCACTGATGAGGTAAAATTTACATTCCACTTATGGTATTAATTTTACATCGCTCTGAATGAAGCAGGTCAGAAGGTTGTAAAATCAAACATTAAATGAATCGGAGGAGACAGTAGTGCAATATGCGGCTGCCCTAGAGACTCAGTGCAGTAGCTGATGGGATTAATGTTGGGTCTAATTTCCTGCTTTTACAGGATGCTGATGAAGCTGTCAGAATCGCAAGGGAAATTGGTAAGTTTTAAAATTGGCTATTGTGAGATTTGTATACCTTTCAGAAGATACTGTTGACTAAATTAACTGTGTAATATGTAGTCCCTATGGAACAAATGATGATTTAAGTTTTAAATCCTCAGTTCCCACCAAGACTAGAAAGAGTCTGAGTATTAACTGTCTCTGTAAATCTTAACATTTTAGTGGTAAGTATCATTTTAGAGACTTAGGATGTGGACAGGTTGTAAGATGTATGAATTATAATCTGCTTAAAAGGAGGGTGGTATTTCATGTTTGTAAACCTTATGTGCATAAGGTACTAAGATATGGTCAGTCTTTTTCAGAGGACTGACATACTTGTATTTCTGTTCTGTTATAAATAATTAGTTGGGTTCTACTATAATTTGAGATATATAAGATGGCATCAGACAGTACCATATAACTTGTGCCATACTTCAAAGAAGCCTGTGGACTTGTCTTTTCTCCTTCATGTATTACATCAAAATACTCTTGAAAACCAAAGGAAATTTCGAAAGTGGCTTAAGTTATGTTACAGGAGTGGGAATGTCAGTTCTTAAACAAGTCAAATACTCCTCTTGGGAGTTCTTAAATTACTTGTTTGAAGCACAGCCTGTATTCTGGAAAAAATTTTTTTATAAAATAACATTTTCTTGATACTTTGAAATTGGGAGATGGCATTTAGCATCAACCCAATTAAGACTGGAATCATAATTGTGCTTGGCTGGTGTGGTGCAGTAATCTGTTGGAAAGTAGAGCAGGGGGGCTAGGAGCAAATAACCTGTCAATTGCAATGCCTATTGTCAATTGCTGTTTCTTCGCTTAAACAGCTACTTTACAGATTTATTGTTAGAAAAAAATGACTTGCTACCCTCCTCCAATTTTGTTGGATATGTTTCCGTCATTGAGGCTTGAGAATATGTACAATATGCTTGGCCTGGTTGACTCACCACCTAACCCATGCCCATTATGACTTACTGGAAGAAATAAGGAGGGGAGTCACATCTGGGTCCAGGAGGCTATAAATACCTCCTTGAGGGAGGCGCTGGCACTAGACTCTTACAAGGAGGCTGTGATCAAACCACTCCTAAAAAAGTCTCACCTGGACCCAATGGATGTGAATAATTATAGGCCAGCTGCTAACATCTCCATTCTGGGCAAAGTGTTTGAGTGGGGTGGTGCCCAGGCAGCTCCAAGCAGTCTTGCATGAAATGGATTATCTAGATCCATATCAATTGGGTTTCAGGCCTGGTTTTGGAATGGAGCGGCCTTAGTTCCTCTGTGGGATTGTTTTTGCTGGGAGGAAGGCAGGAGGAATGGGACCCTTGATTCTCCTGGACCTCTCGGCAGCTTTTGATACCATCAACCATGGTATCCTTCTGTATAGGTTGACTGGATTAGGAATAGGTGGCACTGCTTTTCAGCAACTCCACTCTTGCCTGGCTAGTGGATTCCATAACATGATATCAGGAGATTGTTGCTCTGTACCATGGCAGTTACGTCATGTGGTACCACAGGGCTTTATTTTATTCTCCATGCTATTTAACATCAACATGAAACTGCTGGAAGATGTTTATCAGGAGATATGTGCTGAAGTGTCAGCAGTATGCAGGTGATACTCGGCTCTACCTCTCCTTTTCATCAAATCCAGGTGAGGCAGTGACTGTTCTAAATCAGTGCCTAGACTCAGTGATGGACTGGATGAGGGCCAATAAACTGAGACTTAATTCAGACAAGATGGATGCTGATGTTGGGTCAGTTGCCTGTCCATTTGGGAGATATTCAGTCTGTCCTGGATGAAGTTGTACTCTCCCGAGGCTTCAGCGAATGGGGCAGCATAGAAGTCTCCTAAATAAATAAATAATAAAATATTCATAGCTTGGGGGTGTTCCCTGACCCAGAATTGTTGCTTGAGTTGCAAGTAAACTCAGTGGTTAGGGGCACCTAATCACAGCTTAGGCTGATCTGACCCTATCTGGACAGACAGAATCTGGCCACAGTTATCCATGCTCTGGTAACCTTTTGCCTGGATTACTATAATATGCTGTATGTGGGTCTGCCTTTGGAGATGGTCCAGAAACTCCAGCTGATTCAGAACAGGGCAGCATGGGTACTAACAAGATTTGGCTCATGTGATCATATTATGCCAGTTCTCTTTCAGCTGCATTAGCTGCCAGTTGAAGTCTGTGCCCAATTCAAAGTGCTGGTGTTAACATTTAAAGCCCTAAACAGCTTGGGGCCAGGGTATCAGAAGGAACACCTTGCCCTGTATGTTCCTACCCAGCCCCTAAGATCTGAGGTTCTTCACAGGGAATCTCACCCCAAAAGAAGGCGGCGTAGTGGGTAAGAGCGTGGGACTGGGACTCAGGTGATCTGGGTTCGAGTCCCCGCTCGGCCATGGAGCCAACTGGGTGACTTTGGGCCAGTCACAGACTCTCAGGCCAACCTACCTCACAGGGTTGTTGTTGTTGTGGGGACAAGATGGAGGAGGGGAATGATGTAAGCTGCCTTGAGCCCTTTGTAGGAAAAAGGCAGGATATAAACCAATAAATAAATAAATAAATAAATAAATAATAAAAAAAAAAAAACACAAAACCCCAAAATGATGACTAGAAGGGCCTTTTCAGTAGTAACATCCCATCTTTGGAACATGTTCCCCATGGAGGTGTGCTTGGCACCATCTTTTTTCTCTTTTTGACACCTGGTGAAAAGCTTTTATTTTTCAGATATTTTAATAGATTACATTTCCTTTAATTGTGTTATTATTGCTCCTATGTGGTATATTAATATTCCTATAGTTGCTGTGTGTTTTGTATTGATTTATTGTCTATTATTTATTTAAATGTGACTATTTATTGTTTTATATATCTTTAAAATTTTGTAAACTGCCTAGAGAGCCCAGTGGACTATGGAACGGTATATAAGTGTAATCAATATAAGGGTAATAAAGACAAATGGTAGTGGGGAGTTCCACCTACATACTTTTTCAAATTATTATTACTAACAATAATATTAAAGGATATTTCAAAGGCTTGCATTTGAGAAGATACCCCTCAATTTATATCTGTTGAGCTTTGTGTATATCTTGTATATTCTTTCAGTGTATTATTGTGAGGATAAGCTGAAAGATAGGTTTCACATAATTCTTGGTCCCCTTCTTTACCATAGTTCCTCCCAGAAAGAATAACTGATAGGCTGCTACCACAGGTGGACCATTTCTTGAATGCCCTAGTCTTCCTAGCTTGGAGAGGGACAACTCCTTCCACCAGCCAAGCTGTAACAGGAACAGAGAGAGGCACTTCAGATTTTCTTGCCAAAAGAAACATTGAACTTTACAAAACCTTGTGAAGTATCCAAAGAATATAAGGAATAGCTTTGTAACCCTTTTATTTAAGGGATAGCTTTATAGACTTGCACATGTTGCTTTTTAAACAATGAAGCATAAGTCTGGATCTATGAAAATAAATACAACAAAAATACAAAAGAGTTTATTGGGGAAGGGGAAAACAGGAAGAACAAGGGAAGTCAACATTCATATACCCATATGTTCAAATAAAATAAATAAAATCAGTATGATATAGCTAGTTCTTTGTGGCCTCTACACATCACACCTGCACATTTTGGAAACTTTTTTAGTCGAATAATTTTTAGTAGGAACTATCATTCACCATTCCAGCATGCATGTTTCTGGTGCTTTCCCACTTATTTTCTCAGTTGCCCTTGGACCACAATTGTGGCTGCCTCATGGGGCTTCTTTCAGCCCATGAGTTCTTTGCATTTGTTCTGTCTCTTACTCTGCTGACATTCTTCTGTCTTCAAATTCTTTTTGTTTGCTTGTCTTGTTTAGGATCTCCACAATCACTTTTTTGCCTCAAGGTGCATGGTCCTGTAGGCTTTGCTCCACAAATGTGTTTGGTGTGAGAGTAAGCTTCTTCTGGATTATAGTAATTCCTTTTGCTTGTTTTGTCTTGGAAATGGGCACATTATTGACATCTGTGTCCACTGTCAAAGCACATGGGATAGGCTGAAGGCAATATTGAGCAAAAAGACATTGGAAGCTGTGGAAACTCCTTGATCTCATATTGCCCAGGAAAAAAAATACTTCATTCTTCCAGCAATTCCACAATTGAGGCACAGAGATCTTTTTCCTCTCTGGTAAGAGTTCTAACTGTGGGCCACCTTGCTCCTTCTTCCACTACTCCTAGACAGCCTCTGACACTCAGTGATTTCCAAGAAGGCCGACAGACCTGTGGTCACTTGCTATGAAGCTTACTGAATAATGCTCTAAAGAAAGTGCAGAGCAAGCATGGGGGTAAAATGAACGTGCAGAGCGGTAATGGAGGTTACCAGAACATGCAGACCAAGAATGTAAGAAGAAGGTTTCAAAGAAAATAACCATTGAACTGAAGAAGGAAATTGTGGAAAAGCATGAGTGTGGTATTCGTGTGACTGATCTGGCTTCTGAGTGCAAGATGGCAAAGTCGACGATCTCGACTATTTTAAAGAGTAAAGATCCCATCAAAGGAGCTGATGTGGCAAAAGGAGTAACGCTATTTAGCAAGCAGAGGACTCAAATGCTGGAAGAGGTGGAAAAACTCTTTTGTTAGTGTGGTTGAATGAGAAATACCTGGTAGGTGATAGCGTTAGTGAAGCTATGATCTGTGAAAAAGCCAGAAAATTGCACAGTGATTTAATGCAAAAAAAGCCCCTCTACAAGTGCAGGAAGTGTTGAATTTAAAGCCAATACAGGGTGGTTGACTAATTTCCGCAAGAGAAGTGGCATCCACAGTGTGATCAGACATGGTGAGGCTTCCAGAACAGTTGAGCCTGAGGTGACTGCTACCTTGGTTGCTTACCTGTAACTGTGGTTCTTTGAGTCTTCATCTGAGCATTCACACTACCCACCAACCATCTCCAATTTGGTGTCAATATCCATATTGATGTTGGTACCAGTTTTCTGTTGATGATGTAGGTGGGCTCTGTGCCTGACAGGTAAAGGATATTCTAGCTCAGGGGTCCCCAAACTTTTTTGGGTTGTCGCCCTCTTTCCTCTTGGGTGACTACCCTAGTGCTCCTATTCCTCTTTCTTTGTATTAGGTCTATTGTTCTAGGGCACATTTAAAACACCCAGTCTGTTAATATAAAGTTAAACATTTGCATTTCACAAATAAAGTTTAACTTTGGACCACTGTATGTATGTATGGATGTATGTATGTATGTATTTATTTAAAATATTTATATGCTGTCCTATTCGCAAAAAGCCTCAGGATGGCTTACAGCATAAAATAAAATATAACATAAATAAATTCCCAACCCACACTGGCTACAAAACAAGACCATGCTGTTGTATATAATTTAATGTTATTTTTTCTGTGTAAAGCATACAATTAGTTTCTGAATTATGAATGTCAAATTAATGCACAACTCATACTTATCAAGAGGCAGTTATTAAACCTAATATATATATTGTGTGCATGCTTATTAAAACATTCTGAAGCTTTGGCAGTTCATCAGCTCAAGTCCACCAGTTTGAACTGGATCACTGTGCTGTTAACATTGTGTTAAGTGTGTATCTTTGTATTTAAGTTACATTTTTATTAGTAAACTGCATTGGCAAAGTATAATGTTTGTTGATTTAAAAACCTTGTATAGCTTACCCAGCCTAATGGGCAACTAAAGTATGAAAGTGCATTGTCAGGAATTTTTCAAAAGTAGATTTAGCAAGCATTTTTATATAGGCTCATGCAGTGATGAATTTGTGTATGCTAGCAGGGTGTACTGGTGAGTTACTTTGAGTGTGGTTAGATTTTCTGTACTTTGGTGAATTAATCAATACCCCTTGTGCATATTAGTGAACATTAAAAATGCTGCCTTTTTAATATTAGTATTTATTGTTGAAAATATTTTCTAAAGTGTAAATCTAATGAAATAGTTTTTGGTTAAGTTATTCTTGATCAATTTGTTTTAATCTGCTATTTTACAAACTGTTTCCTTTTCGTTCTCTTTGTTTCTTTTGTAGTAGAAATCTGTTATCTCCTACCAGCCCCCCCCCTCTTTTCCTCACCACTTCCTGGATCTTTCCACTGCTTCCAGGGGTTTCTTACTGCCCACTATGGCAGGGGTCCTCAAAATTTTTCAGCAGGGGGCCAGTTGAAAGGTGCTGGCAGTGGGCACAAGCCAGCAAGGCAGTGCTGGCGGTGGGTGTGCGCGGCAAGGCATGGGTGGGCGAGGCAGGGGTGGGTGCGCGCGATGAGGCAGCAGCTTGCTCTCTTGGAGATTGTTTGCTCTGAGTGAGTCCAAAATGTTCTCCATGCAAGCAAGCCACTGCCTCGCTGGGTGTGGGCACAGGTGCGGCGAGTCCCAAATCTCAGAGATGGGCCAGATAAATGGGCATGGCGGGCTGGATGTGGCCTGCGGGCCGTAGTTTAAGGCACTATGTAGTTTAAGGATTCCCATCCACTATGGGAATCACTGCTCTATCCAACAGTTGGAGGTTTCTTTTGTGTGTGTCTTTCTCTCTGCTGTCTAAAAAGTGGAGGGTGGGAACTTATGACTAGGCTTTTTTTGCTAGTAGTGCTTGAGCTGTAGAACACCCTTCCTGACTACCTTATTAATAATCAGACCACATGGCATTGGGATTGATTAGTTGAAACTGTGTTAATAATTTTGTTTATATCTTTTTCACTGGTTTCTCTTGTTATACTCAGATGCTGACCATGTTTTAAAAATGAATTGTGATTATAAAAGAAATAGCTGCCTTGAGTTTCTCTTGATGTAAGGTGGTATGTAAATGTTTTTGATAATGCCCAATGGTAGTATAATATCTTTGATTTTCAATTTACATCAATTTCTTCAAATTAAAATTGATATTCTGAAATGCAGAAGACAGCTAATGTGGCTGTACATCTTTCCAACAAACAGCTTGGTAATAACGCTGTTGTTTTCCAGCATTTTACTGGAACATGTGGTGAGTTGTTATCCCTGCATGACTTACTGACCAAAGTTTGAACTCTTGTCTAATTGTTCCTTGCTGTCAGGCTACCCTGTCATGATCAAGGCTTCAGCAGGTGGTGGAGGAAAAGGCATGAGAATTGCATGGAATGATGAAGAGACCAGGTAAGATGCTGTCCAAAGTCTAGTTTCAATAAATATGGCTGCTTTCAAAGCCCCACTAAACCACTACTAACTGACATTCAAACATATCAAACAGCAGATAGAAACGAAATAGGTTTTTTTCTTATTCCCTAATATATATTATCAGACTTTTAATGCTGGGTTTTGTACTTAAGTATCTTGACTACAGGCTAGATTCAATAATGCCCAATAATGTTGTTAATGCTGTGCAATGATATTAGCAAATAATTTGTTTATTACACACAGAGAGAACACACTGTGTATTTAGATTTGCCAGCTGAAAAGAAAAAAAAATCAGTACCTAAGATATTTTGTTGATTGAGTTCTATAAAGATATTTAAATTGATCTTATTTAAGGGTTTTTTTTTTAAAACTTTAGTGGAATAGTAGAGTAGGAAGAGGTCTACAAGGCCATTGAGTTAAAGCATCCCTGTCAGGTGGCTGCCTAACTATCTCTTGAAGTCCTCCAGTATGGGAGAGTCTACCACTTTCCTAGGCAGTTGGTTCCATGGATGTACTGCCTTAACAGTCAGGAAATTTTTCCTGATGTCTAGCCCATAATTTGGCTCCCTGTAACTTAAGACCTTTCTTCTGTGTCCTGCACTCTGGGATGATTGAGAAGAGATCCTGGCCCTCCTCTGTGTGACAGCCTTTCAAGTATTTGAAAACTGCTATTATATCTCCTCTCAATCTTATCTTCTCAGTACTAAACATGCCCAGCTCTTTCAGTCTTTGTTTCCAGTCCCTGGATCATCCTTGCTGCCCTCCTCTGAACTTCTTCCAGCTGTATGCATCTTTCTTCAACTGTGGTGCCCAGAACTGGACACAGTACTCAAGGTGGGGCCTAACTAGTGCTAAACAGAGGGGAACCAGTACTTCATGTGATTTGGAAACAGCGCAGTATAGCATTAGCTGTATAGCTTCTATTATTATAATTTCTATTAATGCAGCCCAATATAGCATTAGCTTTTGATGCAGCCATGTTACTTTAATTTTTAAAAAACTCAAAATGGCTTACCTCATTTTCCTCCTCCTCCTGATCTTATCTGCACAACAGCAACCCTGTGAGGTAGATTGGGCTGATAGCCTGTTACTGGTCCAAAGTCACCCAGTTGACTCCATGGCTGATCAGGGACTAGAACCCAAAGTGCCAGACTCATGCTCTTAACCACTGCACCACAGTGGTTGTTCATCGAATCATACAATAGTAGAATTGGAAAGGACCAAGAAGGCCATTGGATCTAACCCCCTTCTGTTGCAGGCCACCAATTTACACCATTTGACTCAAATGACTGTTCAGTTTCTTTTTGAATGTCTCACAGGGGGCAGGCCCATGACTTCTGTAGGTCCAAATCAACTGGTTTCACAGTTGTACTGCTCTGAAAGTTAGAAAACTTTTCCTGATAACTAGCATGAATCTGGTTTGTTGCAGCTTCAGATGATTATTCCATGTCCTACACTCTGGTATCAGTGAGAAGAGATCTTGTCCTTCCTCTTTCTGACAGCCATTCAGGTATTTATAAAGTGATATCATATCCCCCCTCAGTCTTCTCTTCTCAAGGCTGAACATACCCAGTTTTCTCAGTCTCTCCTTATAGGGCAATGTTTTCCAAATCCTGGGTCATTTTTGTTCCCTCTTCTGCTTTTTTCCAGTTTTTCTGCATCTTTCTTACATCTTGGTGCCCAGAATTTGACACAGTCTTCTTGATGAGGTCTGACTAGTGAAGAGTATAGGGGAACTATTACTTCTTCTAATTTGGAAGTAATAATGCATCCCAAAATAGCATTTGCCCATTTCTGTGGCTGCATTACATTCTCATATTTGGCCTGTTACATAAAATAACTTCAAGGTCTTATTCAGTTCTGTTGAGCCACATATTCCCCCTCTCATATTGATTCATTTGGTTTCTTTTTCCTAGGTGGAGGACTTGGCACTTGTCCCTATAAACCTTATTTTGTTGCTGTCAACCCAGCGTTCAAGCTTATCAAAATCACCCTAGATCTTCATTCTGCCTTCCAGGCTGTTTGCTATTCCATCCAGTTCTGTATTGTCTGCAAATTCGATTATCATTCCTTGTACTTCCTCATCTAAATCATTAATAAAGATATAAAGAGAACTGGGCCTAGGACTGAAACGTGTGGCACTTCACTAGTTACCTTTCTTAAGTTTGAAAATGTGCCATTGATGAGGCACCTTTTCGAAGCTTGCATCCTTGTCCTCTTTATGACTGGCTGGTTGGTTATTGCAACCAATAAACATGCCCTTTTAATTCCTTTTTCCCTAATTAAGCCAGATGCATTCAATAGAGCTACTGAGTTCCTCTGATTGTATTTCTATCCAGATATATGTGTCTTTTATGTATAGTGTGACTCCACCTCACTTTTTGTCCCTTCTGTTTTTCTTCAGCAGGTTGTATCCATCAGTTGTAGAGTTCTAGTCATGCAAGTTGTCCCACCAAGTTCCAGTTATTCCAATAATATGGTAATTGCCCGCATGTGCTATGAGCACAAGTTCATGTTGTTTGTTTCCCATACTCTGGGCATTGGTGGAGAGACATCAAACTTCATTTTTGTGGTGCCCTGGTTTTGTTCCTACATGTCTGAGGAGACTGCTGTTAGGCCTTGGTTGAGGTTTTTACCTCTGTTGAAATGCATAAGTCTTTTCTGGGTGATGGTATGCTGTGCTGCACATCTCCTTCCCCGTATGTTTCAGTTTAAAGACCTCTTGATGCATGTTTTCATGTAGTTGCCTAATGCATGCTTTCTGCTCTTTATGAGGTGCAGCCCATCATTTGCCAATAGTCTGTTTTCCAGGAACCTTAGCTTGTGGTTCTAGAATCCAAATCTCTCTTTATGGCAGCAGCATTGTAGCTTTTCATTCACTTCAAGGTTTTTCCCTGTTCATTCTTCTTTCAAATACCAGTAGGATTGAGGAGGGGAATACTATACAGTGCTTTTGATTTTCTTCCCTAAATCCTCAAAGTCTGATGTTATTTTGTCAAAGATCCTGGCAGTATTTGTTCCTCCATGGATGAGAAGGAAGGGGTATTTGTTAGTAAGTTGTATGAGATGCATGGATCTATTGGTTATATCATTAATCTTGGCTCCAGAGAGACAGCATATCCGGCAATTCTTTGGGTCATTGGGGCATGCATATTTTTCCATTCCATGCAGCAGGGAGACTTCCACAACTAACAACATTTTCTTCTTCTTATTGCAAGCTGTAACGTTTCTCTTATTTGGTTGTTTTTTAACCTCTTGTTCAGCATCCCTCAGTGTGTCATGAAGTTCATTCACAGACAGTTGTTTATCCATCTCTTCTGTTAGTGGCTGAAAGTGGTTTGAATGTACTGTTCCAATATTTTCTTCTTTGCCCTCAGCTTGCTGTGGCACTTCTAGCTTCAGTACTGCAATTAGCTGTTGCAGTTCCACCACTCAATCCAAACTCTTTTTGTCTTCTTTTATTTCCTTGAGGGTGGTCACTTACTGCTCTACTGCTCTCATCTTTTCCTCTAGGAGGGCTACTGACTTCTTGCACATGTGGGCCATGTTGATCTCAAGCAGGAAAACAAACATTGCACAGACATCGCAGGCATTGTCACCACTGCGGAGTCTTCTTGGTCCATTCTTCCTGCTTCCCTTTTGATTCTTGCTAGCTGGTCTTGTTTTAGCAACCAGCAATTCCCCTTGCCTTCCCTGAAGGTTAACAACACAGTGCTACCAGTGAATGGGAGGGAGTTGCAAGAAAGAAAATAAAGTGAGGGAAACTGAAGGGGAAAATAAAGAGAAAAAGGCAAAAAGCTAGAGACCTGCCCCTTGGCCTTCCCTATCAAACTCTGCCACCAAAATCTTGTTTGCTCACTCTGGTCACTCATTCCCTGGGAGCTTGGCTGCTCCAGAGGTCTAGAACAGCTAGGCAGCATCCTCTGATCTGAGCAGCTAGGAGTCAGGAACCAGAATGTTGTTGACTCATATTCAACCTGCAGTCTATAGCAATTCCAAGATCTTTCTCACTTGTACTATTGTTGTATCTTCTGACTCCCATCTTGAAACTCTGCATTTGGTTCTCTTTTCCTAGGTACAGAACTTAGCATTTGTCCGTACTGAATTTCATTCTGTTGCTTTCAGCCTAGCATTCCAGCCTATAAGATCACCTTGAATCTTCTCTCTATTTTCCAGGGTATTAGCTATCCCACCCAATTTTGTGTAATCTGCAATTCTTCATCGTGGTCTCCACACATCACACATTATGGGTGCTGCGCCTGCGCAGTGCCTGTTGCCGGGATGATTTAATGAGCATTTCCCATATCTCTTCATCTAAGTCAGGGGTCCTCAAACTTTTTTAACAGGGAGCCAGTTGACAGGTGCCAGTGGTGGTCGCAGGCCACCAAGGCGGTGCTGGCGGGGAGACGTGGACTGGTGTAGAGGTGGGGTGTGCATGCACACACGTGCATGTGAGGTGAGGCGGAGATGGGGGGGTGCACGGGGTGAGGCATTGACTTGCTCGCTTCTGAGCGAGTCCAAAATGATCTCCTTGTGAACAATCTGCTGCCAGGTGTGAGCACAGCGAGGCGCCAGCTTGCTCGGGAGGACATCATTTTCTCCGATCGTGTCCAAAATGATCTCCCCACAAGCATGCTGCCACCAGGCAAGGCGTCAGCTTGCTCACGAGGAGATCATTTTCTCCAAGCGTTTCCAAAACAAGCTCCTTGTGAGCAAGCCACGTGTGTGTCCAGCGAGTGCAAAACCTGTGGGGTTGGTTAAAAGGGCATGGCGAGCCGGATCCAGCCCGCGGGCCTTAGTTTAAGGACCCAAGATCTAAGTCATTAATAAAAATGTAAACATTTTAAATGACAGCATAAATGTTCATATCATATGTTGCCCTTTTAAATAAGCTCTTAACTGAAAGATTTAAAAATGCTTTCTTTATGTAATTTTGAAGTGTTGATAATTGCATTCTGTACAGTCAGTTTCAGTGATGC